TGATTTCTTAGGATGCAGCCACAGCAGTTCATGGGGAATCTATAACTGTAGTGTGGAATGGCCCTAGAATACCTCAAGTGGCTCCAATGGTGCTTACGGTGAAAGTAATATTTAGAGAGAGTAATATGTGAACTGAGCTAGGCTCAACCAAACACATGCACTTTCATGGCAAACGTAAATCATAGTTACAACAGGTGCAAACTGCTCAAAGCTGAGCTGCACCACCACAAGTTGCAGCTCTGGCACCCTTTGTTGTAAAAACAGTAATATCTACACTCTAAACCAGGGGTCGGCAACCTACGGCCCCTGGGCCGGGTGCGTCCTGCAGAGGCCTTGGGACCAGCCCATGGCCGGTCCCGCTGCCGACCCGCACGCACATGCGCGCTGCGGCGGGCGCCATTTTTGAAGGCCCCACCGCGAATGCGCAGCCACCGTAGGACCCTGGAAAGGCCACACTGCAGCTGTGCCAGGCGAATTCGCCCGCCGCAAGCACAGTGGGGGCTTCCAAAATGGCACCCGCATCGCGCATGACAGCGGCATCGTGTGCAAGCGTGCATGCACCCGCCCAGCCCAGCCCCGCCCCCTCCTGGCCCCCCAGCAAAAAAGGTTGCCGACCCCTGCTCTAACCAAAACTATGTTGTCATCCCAGATTAGGACCATTGCTCAGAACAGATGACAGGGTATATTTAAACACAGCTCATGGAACACCCCAAGATGCATTTAAAATACCTTTAGGTTAAACAAAAAGGTTTGCTGGAAAAATAATATATTAAAAAGGGCCAAGGACAAATGATACTGCCCTCACAGTACTGATGTGGAGAAAGAAACAGTACCATTGCAATGGAATATGACAATTGCTATCTTTTTTGTTTCAACCTTCAGACAGTGAACAGAAAAACATGACTTTCCACCAAAGTGACTGAGACTATAAAGCTGAGACACCAGACTGGTCCAAACTTAGCATAGGTATGGCCTATTTCTGTGATCTGAAGACAGGATGCTTGTCTCCCTAACAAGTAGGAAGTGGCCTACTTCTTATTTATTAGTGCTGTGGTCTAAAATCTGGTGTTTTTCCTGATTAGAGTAGGATGACTGAATCAATGAGATTTACTTAGATGTAGGCACACCATTTAACCAGTTGACAGAATAGGTTTACTCTGGTTGAGACTAATCAACAGGATGCTAAGCCTGTGTATGTGCCTTCAAGTCCTCTG